AAAATTCAATAATGGATTATCTTCGACATTAGCGTTTAGTCTTGTTAGCTAATTTGAAAAATGCTTATTAGCTTACTGACTGAACTAGAATTTTATATTTTACAAAAAAAAAATGGTTCCTTTTTCTCTGTTCGTTGAAACAAAATTGAAATTTTATGCGTCATCACAGTTAAGAGCATCGACATTATAATTCCACAATTTTTCAGAAATTTGAAAGTAAAAAAATAAAATAAATTACATTCAGATAGCGTTGATGTGTCTTTTACAGTCTTAACATGTTTATAAATGTATACAAAGAAATGCTTGGGACCACCTTATTACAATTTAAATTATTCTAGCATGAATCACCGACTTGATTTAAGAATTGACAGTCATAACAAAATTTCTATCACCTTTCATTCCTTACTATTTTCTTAATAGTAGCCTTTAGTCTATGCATTCTCTGAAAATGACATAAAGTAACACGTAAGTTAGTGTCTTATCGCAACACACACATGGTCGGCACATTCACTTTGTGTGTTGCCTACCACTTAATATACATTTTGTAGATCCACTTAATGAAAATGAATTAAGTTTAATCGCCAAAGCGTAGAAGTAACAAATACAAAGAATGATTAAGGAAGGAAAACTAGACGACTTATTAGTCACTGATAAAAATTCATTAACCAGCATTAATTATTTACCAGCTTTTATTTTCCTCAATAAACAAAAGTAGGAATAAATTAAGAACGCAAAAGAGGCAATTTATAGTTGGATGCCACTTGCGCGCAAAAATATATACAGAAAAGATTAAAGTGTGAAGCGATGAAATAATTTTTTTTTCTTTTTACCTTCATGTCGATTGTAATAAATTACACTTTAATTAAAGAATAATCAAAGTTACACACTCACATGCACGCTACCCAATTTTCCTTTCAATGCTATTGATAATTCCGTAGACTAAAGTGAAGTTGAGGCTTCTTTTATCGTTCATTTATAATTAAAGTGGAGAAAGGGTAAGAAAAGGGCATGTCTGTGATGATGGTATTGCTTACAAACATTTTTGTACACATGAAAAAAAAGAATTATTAATTGATTTAAAATTGAGTTTTAGATGTTTTAAACTACGACGGTTCTTGTTTAAGAAGTTTTTTTTGTATCTGTTAAACAAGCAATAAAATATGCAAAACACTTTTAAAGCTTAAGAATTAATTAATTAATTAATCAAGATAAACAAAATCAAATTATATAATTTTTAAGAATTCAGATATTTAAGCAGTTAAGTCATTTCAGAGTTGTATCCTAGGGTGCTTTAAAGATTTTATCCAAAGTCTCTTTTAAATTGTTTTAAACGAAAGATTTCAATTACAAAAGTGTTAATTTTACTGTGATATTTTATAGCGTCTAAATTTTGATATGCTGTTATGAAATTGTGTTAAAACTTTTATATTTTTTTTTGTGAATTTATAGGCTCAAAATTATTTATTAATTGCATAATTTAAAAATCTAAGGATTATCAAATAAGAACGCCAATTTAATTTTAAAAAATTTGGAAAGCAATCAGGAATTAAAATACATTGTATAATATCATATGATTTTATTTTAAACTTGTTGACATCATAGTCTAAATTTGATGGATCAAGTTCAATCAAGTATGGCATATTTTGTAGTGTATCCACTTAGCGATAACATTTTTTTTCCAATTTACAGATTTTGCAAGCCATTTCGTGAATCATAAAACTCAGCATTTCGCAGATGCAATAAATAATTCTTCTGATTAGATATGTCAAAAAGTTTTAAAGCCCCAAAAATAGCGGCTGGTCTCATCTAAATTTCTATTAACTCATATTGCTATTCAAATTTTATTATAAATTTCAAAAAAAGTTCATCAATAATTCAAGGAGTAAAAAAATATTCACAGGAAAAAAGTCTCAACAAATTGATTGACAATAAATAGCGCGTGCTGCTAATGAATAAAACAATTTTTTTATTTATTCAATATTTCAGTCAATCAGAAAAGAAAATCTAAAAGAAGCAAAAAAAAAAGAAAGAGAGAAAAAATCAATTTACAGACTACAAAAAATCTTTTTGTGCTGGATTGTCGTTTTGCTTATTTTTCCTCTTTTTTCTGGATGTTTAGTGATACTCATCCACAATTCATTTTCTGTTATTTTTTTTTCTTCTTTCCTCACTCTATCAAATAAACCATTAAGTCACTAATGGAACTTATCTTAAATTCCTTCTTCATTTTTTTCTTTCTCCTGTCTTTTGTCTCTTTTTATGTACCTTTTATACACATATACCTCCTGACTCTTCGCGCGCGCCTCTGAAACAGCATCAATTTTGTTCTTTTTGTACCCCCGATTTATTTTGTATCGTTTACGCGCGGTGTCGTGTTTGTTTGGTGTGACATGGACATTAGTTGCTTTTTTATTGAGAAAGAATATCTTTCTTATTTTGCGGCACATTTTTATATCAAATAAGAGAAAAAAAATAAGAAGAGCAGCAAATGCTTTTCTGATTTATTAGACTTTTTCTGCCAAATTGTGTTCTTAAAATTAATTTCTTTTTCAACCAACGCGAGTAAATTTATAAACGAAGAGTGGAAACAAATTAGCTACAGTAGTATTGCTGACTTGAATTGTAAGTAGTTTTCTTTCGTGATGATGTGATGCAATACTTAGTTGCACCAAAGAACAAAGAGGTTAACTTTTAAGATGCATAGGAACTTACATTATTATTGAAATATCTAAAATCATACTAGAACTTCATGAAAAAACATGATCAGGAATTTGAAGAAAACATTTTTTTTTTATCTGGCGAACAAATGTTGATTCTGATATCTCTCTTTTCTTTATGTATACATTCTATCCGCAGTAACATTATTTGTTTTTCGGTATACTTGAAACAAGACAGACAGTAAAGAAGTCGGAAAAAGGAAAGAAATTTTTAATCATTTTCAAATTCTTTAAATGTCTTTATGAGTCATGAAAGAAATGTTGTAAGTATTTCTTCGATGATAATAAAGGAATGCGGGTTGGATTTAACCATCTATACAATTTGGCGCCCTCGAATTTCGTTCTGAATTATACTCAACGACATTCAATTGTATTTTATGTGACAAAAAGAATCAAAATTATTCATAATATAATTTGTGAGGGTAATTAGCAGCTTTAATTGTCCTAAACTGACTTTTTTGTCTTCCTGACTTGATAAAAACGTCCTTTAACGCCTTTATTATTGGCCATTAAAAAATTATTTGCATTTTTAAACAATAGGAGACTGTCACACTAAAAAGCACAACTCGTGATTTCTTATCACGATTTATTTCCTATAAAAATTATAAGTGGCGATGAGTAAAACACAGAATGCATTTTGTTATTTATGAATTAATTCGTACCTTATATAAAAGTTATAAATACGCAGATAAAAAAAAAACGTTTTGCGTCATTTGAAGTAATCGAGTAATCAGAAAAGCTGCAATAATCGATAAGAAATGAAAAAATAGATTTAAATTAAATTTAATGCCTGACGAATTTCTTATCAAGTTATTATTTTTTTCTGCTTTAATTGATACGGCTCACTAGTTATTAGAATTTTATTTCTTGTGCCTTTTTAATAATTTACCTTTTTTGTGCAAATAATTAAGTCCATTCATCGCATGACTCAGTGAGTTTTATTAAATTACACGGAACTTGTTGTTCTACTATATTCGTTAAGCTAATTATTATTGCATTATTACTTAGTTCCTCAAATGTTTTTGTATTACCTTTTGCAATTTCATAACTATATCAAATAATTTTATTTCGTCATGCTGTACACTGTGAATTTAAAATTTTAAACCCTTAAAACAATAATTAATATATTTTAAGTTCCTTAAGAATCAATTCCCAGTTTAAAATAAAAGGTTTACAAAAATTACGATTTAATCAAAAAAATTTTCAATAAAATAAATTTAAAAAAATTTTCATGAATAGGCATATAAAATTATTCATAAGCATTTATAATTCTTAAATGTACATGAAATCCGTCGGCTAATTTTAGTGGTATTTGTACAAATTAGCCCTGGAACTTTATGTTGCATAATTTTTTTTTTCTCTTCAGTTGCACGAATACAGTAGAACCAGGAAAAAAAGTTTTAATCGCGATAAGAACTACACGAGAATAAAAAAATATTTCATAATTGAGCTTAACTAATTTCTCAAATTATGTGGATCAATATGGAAGAAAAAGTTTTCAAATCGAATTAAATTTTTTTGTTTTTTCATGATTAATAAAGAAAAGTTTATTGTGAGCGATCAAAAAAAATTTTATTATTTAATCTACAAAAAAAAAAAATCGGATTCATTACAAATTGGAAAATTATTAAAAAAACTTACTCAATGAATTTTTTTGCCTTTAGTTTATTTTGCACTTAATCGATATAATGCAAAATTGACAATGGTTTCCATGGAAGCTTTATTGCAACGAACAAAGTTTTATATAAAAATTAATTTTTTTGCGATTGTTTTAAATGGATATAAACGAGTTTTAGATAATTCACACATCAGTATTCTTAGGGATTTAACAAAAAATAACGGGCAATCGGAATCAAATCGTTCTATAATATATAAACTTCAAAATTTCCATCAAATAAAATTAAATCTATTATTTCACTTAAATCATTTTGCAATATACTAATTGGACTTGAAACTTCTTTGATATGTGTACAAAGAGAAAGACATAATATTTTTGATAAGACCAAGTGACATTAATTGATTCAATCACATGATGATAGTGCAATTAACTACCCGAAAAATCAATTAAATAATATTGTCATGTTTTTATATGAATTGATATAAAACACAAAATGTTAAATTCAATAAAATTGATTAGAATTCTTGTGGCTTTATTAAGATTGATTTGTAGAACTTGAAAAGAATTTTGTCGACTTGGAGACTTAATGACCCACTTGATTACTAATTTAGCATATTCAAATTTCATTTGCAATATTTAATTGATTTAATTAATAAAAGGCTTACCTCAATGTTGCACGTTGAATAAATTGTGAATTAATTAATTTATCGTCAGGTTAATCAATTAAAGCTGATTACTGACTAATAATTTTTCACAATCTTTAACTATCACGTGTCTTTGCAATAAAATATCTCCGTCTCTCTCCTGCTCGATCAAATGTATAGCACACTATTAATCCGAGTTATATTTTTCGTAATGTGAAATGTAAAATAACTAAAAACTTATTATGGAGAGAGAATTTTTGCACAACTGCTAATGCACTGATGCAATAAATATTTATCGCCTGTAAATGATAATTAGTTTGTGTTTGCAAATAACACTTTATGGAATGCCTGTTCTAAATTCAAACTATTTCACACTTTTCTTGATAATAGGAATTGTTTTATATTTAACGTTCGAATTTATTTTTTATTTTAGTTCCACTAGATGTGTTATTGTCTTCTTTTACAAAATTTACACATAAATGCACATTTTTTAATTTATATAATTAATGATTCAGTTCTACTAATTACTGGTTTTTCTATTTTGTCTTATCTGTTTTCTCTTTCTTTGCCTTTGACTCACAAACTGTTAATGAGCTCAAAGGTGCAATTTTTTACTTTTGTAGAAAAAATGAGCAAAACTTAAAATTCACGCAACAAAACTGGAGAATAATATTCTTCTGACTGTACAAAGCGAATGTTGAAATTCGACTGAAAAACATTCGAGAAAAGAAAACATTCATAATGTGGTGTCGGTATAATAAAGTATAACTAAATGTGTGTGGGTCAGTCTTGTATGTTTTCAATGGAATCAAGTTGTTTTGGCTCCACCCTATTTTTTTTAAACGTTTCAACATCACAAACACATTGAAACAGAAACAACAGATGAAATTGCTTTCATAATTGGCTTTATAATAATCGCATAATAAATAAATTTAATTTCTTCTTTTGAACGAACCAAAAAAATGCGAAGAAAATTGAGCGAGTAAGAGACAGACATAAAATAAAATAATCGTAGAGTGAGAGAGGAAAAAAAGCAATATGGTAATGAGAAAACAATATATATGAGTATCATATTGCAGTGCATTTTAAAAGAAATTAAAATGGAAGAGATTGGTATAGAGATGGGATAAAGAGAAGAAGAAAAAAATTCAATTAAAAGTTTTTCGAAGCAATTAACATACATAAATATTGTGACTAAAGAGATTTCTTTCTCTATCTTGCTCACTTTTAAATTTAACTTTCCTCTTTTTTTTAATGTTCACAATTTAATGAAATGGAAATAAAATGAAATGAAATATATAAACAAATACAGACGGGCGTGGTACAAATGATTTCAAAAAGCTCTTAATTCAAACTACATGTCGCTTTGAGTCTCTATCTCCATCTCACTCATCCACCCATGTTCTCGCTTGTCTTCGGCTCATTTAATTTACAAAATTGACATTTTAAATTGAAGTTTAATTAACAATTTTATGAATTATGTGAGAGTTGAACAGTGAATGGCAATGAATGTATGTGTGTTGTGTATATGAAAATTATTAAATTTAAATTAAAATATGAATAAACCTATTGAGAAGAAGGAAATAAACGAATACTAATAATATTTATGAATGGATGGGTAGATATTAATAATAATAAATTTATTTATGTAGATCCGTATGAGATATTTCGTGAGAAGTAAATGAAAATAAATTAAAGCCGATTTTTTCTAGAGATTTATTCCACCTTTAACTCGATTGCATCGATATCCATGACCGAAGATTTTAATTTTTAAAATAAATATTGTTAAGGGAACTTTAATTAAAGACAAGACGCAGCGAAATGCGATAAATTGGATATATGGAAATTTATTGGTTTTTGCTGCATATTCATTCATTTAAACTTACGAATTTCTTATGCTTCTATTCATATTCTGTTCTTTAATTTATTATATAAACTTGAAAGTTTATGAGATTTTAACACTCTGGCGTAGCAATTGTTTTAAGCTCGATCTAAGTTTGTGTCTTTTCAAATTGTTGGCTTTTAACTATGTGCCACTAGATACTAGCGTACCGCTAGAGAACTAAAGGTGTGATGTGTAATATTTTTTAAGATAGAATAATAAAATTCACCAGGTTCTTCATGCAAAACCTATAATATATTATCAAACCCTGATCCAGAAAAAAGTTTTACTTTTATTTAAAACGTTTGTTTTTTGATGTGGATGGTCCCTTCATTGCTAACGTCTATTATATTAGCTCTAAATGTTTTTAAAATAATTATCTATGACATAATATGTCACAACAAAAGATCTAAAGAAAGCTTGAAATTGCCTAAAATGTTAACAAACTCAATATTAAAGTTTTAGATACGCTGGCGCTAGAGTTGTGTGGTATATTTTGTACTCTGTCATATGATACATATGGACATACTATGAGTTTTATGAACAAGCAGATAGACATATTTGAAATAAACATATAAAGAAGAAGACTTTAACAATATAAAATATTATCATTAATAAATTACGTCCATTAAAAATCCATGGCACACGAAGCACCAAACATTTATAAGATCCCCTTCAATCATAAAAGTAAGACGTCATTTGTGAACGATCTCAAAAGTGAAAAAAAAATGTTGAGCAAACATCAAAACCCATAATCAATTTTTTCCCTCTCTTTATATTCTTCTATAATTTTCTTGTCTACAACTGCATGTGGTCTTCGCGTCTTCAGTGATATATACCTGTTTAGCTTTTGTTGTATTTCAGCTTTATATGAAATATATAATATTTATTTTTGGATAAAAGAAAATCATAGATTTATATTCACTAAATTACCTTTCCGTTGCTAATTACTTATGGCCTTTTTGATTTATTTTTTTCTTCTTCACTGTCATCACATTTTTGAACATACATGATCAAAGGTAATCTGACCACTTTGATGGTGATACTTAGTATAGAGATAAAATAACCAAACCTGAAATTTTATTGCCACCTAATTGAGAAGTGTTTTGTTGATTATGAGAGTAAAATATTGACTGTGTGTTAATTAATGACGTAATGGTTTGCTTAAATTCATTTCAATCTATAATATTTATTGTTTCGAGTTGGGCATGTGTGATGCAATTCTATAAGGAATGTTATTTTTCACAATGAGATTTTGATACAGTTCAAACACAATGAATCAAAGATACTTATTCGAATAGCTCAAGTCGATTAATCGAATAAAAATTCGGTGCCAAGCTGGTATAACTCTTGCAGGTGCTGGCTTCGATTGTCACACCGGCTTGGTACCGGATTTCTAATCGATTAACCGACTCAATGAAAATTTGATTTTCTTTTCTAAGTTTGCAAAAAATGCACCACAATCACTAAATCTATTTAAACTCTTTAAGCTCAAAATTACAATGATTATAATGAACTTTTTTCTAACTGTAAAGTATGCAATAATAAGCACATTGCAATGATATTATAGTTCATTGATTTGAAATTTTATTACAAGTCAATAATGAAATTTATCTCATGCATCCATCCATCAATCTTCATTTCTCACTTGATCTTCATCACATTCAATTTCCCCACCATTATCATAGTTTCATTGCATCATAAATAAATAAAATAACAAGCGCCATAATGATGCATAACGAGCAAATTGAGATCATATCAATCACGTTGTATGCAAATGAGAAGGAAATTAGATTTAAGCAGCGCCAAAAGTCACGCGTATAGGCGATGCAATTTTTCAATAAAATTTCAAGCTTGTTTGCAATAAGAGAAATTATGGAAAGAGAACTAGCAGATTGAAATGAAAGGCAAGAAGAAAACCAAAATTGTTTGCAATTTTCGCTTAAATCAAATTCCAATTTTCAGTAATAAATAAATAATATGATATCCATTTACATGATTATTGATTTGCATTCTCAGTGCTCGAGTGATACATAAATAATATTTTTTATATTTTATTCTTTCTTTAGTTCTTTGAGTTCCAACAACAATTTACCATACAGTCATATAAATATATATTTATAATGTAATTTATACAAAATAAATTATCAATAATCTCTTTTTAAATAAACAGAAATGAATGCTATTATGATGAGCTAGTCATAAATTATGGAATTTATTTCGATTTTGGTTTCTTCGTTCTTTTTCTCTTTTCACTCTTCAGTTGTTTAAATTGAGCGACGAGTTTGCGGTCTAAGATTGATTCTAATTCATTATTATTTTTTCTTCTTTAGATTTGAACCCAATTTCGCAGTTCAAAATTTTTTTAAAAAAATAATATTTTTAAGTATGACTTCGATAAGCATTGATGCCAAACTTTTAGGGACTGGACCTATTTGACTTTTTGGAATTTTTGAGATCAGAATCCCATTTCCCATATCATTTGTTAATGATACTTTACCTTTAAAAAATTGTTGGCACCACTTGGTTCTAAAATTAACAACATGATAAGAAATCATGGCAAAATTTTAAATTAGGCTGACTAAGAATCTAGTTTTTAAATTTACAGCATTGCACTGCATTGAACTCCATTATAAAATTTGAATATTTGATCCATAACTTTTGATATGCCTTCTATATAAATGCATGTGCTGAACTTGGACGACAGGTTATTAGTGTACTTATAAATTATAAATTTATTGAAAGCAAATTGTTATTATGGTCGTTATAATTTTCTTGGTATTACAAGAGAGTCATTATCTCAACTTCCGTTGCTCCAAATTTAAATTAAAAACTTTTTCATATTCATCTTATCTCATGAGTTTTCGACTGATTTTTGTAATAGTGTTTTTCTCATATCATGATGTTCTCAATTATATGAATCAACTACCGTTTGAGGCCATTCTCAATCATAATCATTATTGTTATACTTATAGAAGCTCCTCATCAATGATCATCATCAACACCATTGTAAAAAAAACGAACGTAAAAAATGGTGTCATAAATTTTAATATCAAGTTGGAAGGGAAATCCAATTATTGACACTTGAAATCAACAATATTGTGTTTCAGCTGCTCAAGTCTTTCACTTTTCTTATTTCTTCTTACGTTGTTTTCCTTCTAATTGTGCACTAAACAGTTTATAATCTGTGTCTACCCTACAAGCATTTAGTTATGAAATTACATAAAGTGTTTTAATTCAAACTTAATTTCCTGCTAATTTTCTCTCAATAACCAAAAAAGCCACAGACAATCATCAAACGAAAAAAATGAAAGAACGAAAATTTGAACTAATTTTCTGTTCATTTGAGCACGCAATTTTGTCAATCAATTTTATAGCATTTTTTTCATTAAAAAAAATATTTTTTAAAGTTTTTAAACCATTAAACTTTGAATGAAATAATTTCAAAATTGAAAAGCTTAAACTGTAAAAAGCTCCATGGATTAGAACATTGATGTCATGATTGTCCTCTTAAAAAGCTGGATGACATCCCGAAAAGGAGTATCTCCGAAAAAGAGGAACAATTATATCGTTTTTAAAACTATCATTGAATTATATTATAAAGCTTAATTAATTCAAAATGACAGAATAAATTATAATTTGTACCTTAATTTATATTTTATAGTTTTCAGTATTTATTAGCACAGCATTTCAAAAAGGAATATATTAATATAAATTTGCAATATAAGTAGTCTTTAAGGTCATAAAATTTGATAATTAATTCGCAAAAGTGTACTTACTTTTCAGAACAGATACAATCTGGTTACTAGA